GAGTGTGTAGATTCTTTGATACAGTAAGAAAACAGATAATGTGGAGCCTGTGGACAGAGGAGACGCTGGCCAAAGCGTTTATCTATGAGGAGATTACACTCTGAACACATTAACCTTTGAGGAGAGCAGCAGATCTCGCTCTGCTCCATTAGACAGCAGCCATCAAGAGTTTCAGCCAGCACTCGCTCCTCAAGACTGGAGCACCAGAAACACTAGTTGCGTGTCTCCAAATGGGTATCAAAGATAGTTGCTGAACCGACTGCATCACATGTTGAAGCAGATAAACATGTGCATTCTCTTGCAGTACAATGAAACAACAATACTGATGATGCATATTGCACTCATAGGCTTGTTCAAATCTTTAGTAAAATCTGTAATACCTGACTTTAAAAAAAAGACACGTTGAAAGATATAATATAAAATAAGCCAACAAGAGAGAAAATGTCACCTCTCTAGCCATTAAAAAAAATTCCATATATCCTTTTTTAAAGGATTTTTTAATGGATACATGTGTGGATTTTTACACAGTTCTGTGCTTCTAAATTAAATCTTCTTCCTCTTTTTTTTTTCACCTTGGCATGAAAACACTGAATTCAATTGAACCGTTTGATCAGGCTTTGCATTTCTAGAGCAGACTGGCAGATTTAGGTAAATTTCCATTGAACTTTGTGTCAAGTTCAATAACAACAAAAAAGCAAAAGTGAGAACGGATCCAATTACAAATGGATTCACACCAAGAACACTGCATGCTGTTTATTGAGTGGAAGAAAAGGAAGGAGATTTTTTTTTCAAATAAACCGATTAGAGGCCAGTCCCAACAGCCAGATCTCACAGACAGCGATCAGAAGAGCCTGGCGGTTACGGGCCGCGAGTGTGTGGCTTATGAATATTATTTGGAGCAGTGTTGAGGAGAAGGGGAGTTGATGATGGCCGCTCGTCATTGCTGTGAGAGCGTAGGCAGCGTGACACAGTAATGCATGCTAATGTAAACATCAGCACTCCTCTCAAATCAATTCAAATGTGCTTATTCAGGTGGAAAATAAACAAGGCAGTGAGAGAGAAGCACAGCGTCCTCCAAAATCCAGCAGATAATGTCATTTCACCATCCTCCCTTCAGCCACCTCAACTTCACACTTCAGACGCACCTTTGTGGGAGTTTTTGTTCATTGAAGCTCGGTTTATTTATACAGCTTTGTTTTACACACATGACAGTCAATGACATTCATTGACAAGATTGGAAAATTATATTGTAGTGCAGAATATTGCATTAGATGCAGATACAGTCAATTACAAACCAAATGTATTCAATGCATGTCCGGAAGCATGGAAATGACCCTAAATCAGCTTTGAATGTGTCATTAAGGCATATTTAATGTGTGATTTATGAGCTGATCTGTAATAACTAACTGTTTAAATTACACAGCAACAATTGCTTAAACTGGATTATCTACAATGACCAAAAAAAACATTTTGAGATGAAGAAAAGGAGGGAAAAGGAGAACAAACATACCAGAATGTTAGAATTTATAACCGCATGACATGAAGTTAGTTTTTTTTGTTGTTAATTGTTGTTTTATTGTGTGTGTGTGTGTGTGTGTGTGTGTGTGTTGAGGGGGGGGTATTCTTACACCTATACTTACCTACAAGTTTTAAAACTTTTTTTTTTCACGATAAACACGCACATGCAACTTTTTTTTTTTCTTACTTACTACACTTTTTCAGCATTCCTTATTTTTGCTTTGTTTAAATTGAAGTGCTTGGCTTGGCAAGGCAAGTTTATTTATAGAGCACATTTTATGCACGCATGTAAATTTCATAAACTTATCTGAATTTCATACACTAAAACTAAAAATCAATAAAAAGTATATAGGCAAAAATAAACAAATACTGTACTTTATCATAAATACTAAAGTAACACTAACATATATTATGAAATTGTGAACACCTTAATGAACTAATTTTTCATTGTAATAAAAAATGTCCTGGACCCTGACACACAGTCATGAGGGTCTACAAGGCTCCTGCATGTGATGTCATTTCCTGTGTTATGGTTTAATGGTAACGGAATGGTTTCCTGCATATTGGTTGTCCCACACAGACTGTTTTTGAGTTTTTCAATTTTAAAGTAATGTGACTTTTTTATCGCTTTCTTCCTGATTCCACCTGGACCTGCAGCGAGTGATCCGTTAACATTCCCAGCATTATAGATCTAACTATAGATCACTATAGATCTAACAAAGCCTCCTGTCAATCAGAGCCATGTCTCAGTCCACCGATCAGTCCAGACGGATCCAGCTCGGGACGAGACCTTCAGAACCAGCACACGACTCCTGACCCGCCTCAGCTCATTACACAAATGAATGAATAATCAGCAGAGAACAGAAATCCATCAGAAAGAGACGGACAGTCTGGAAGAAAAATGCATTTTCCCAAATAACCCACGCAACGCATTTACTCTCCATCTTGCCCCACTTTTCTTTGCACAAAACACTTAAAAGACATTATTCATGACTTTTACAATAGCCAGCCTCATATTTAGGCCTGTGAGGAACATTAGAGCGTGTGAGGCTACGATTATCCGGAGCCTCAGCACTCACGATTATTAATTCATCACGCTGCTTCAGAACACAAATGCATTGTATTGTCTCATTCAGCATCTTATTTTACCCATAAATCGGGCAAATGGGATGCGTTCTAATGACAGAGCCATGTTAATATCAAAGCGAATAGGCTCTGGGGTGCAGACGGGAGCACGGTGTGGAAACTCAATCACAAGTCCCTTCAATCACGGAACGGGAAACAGGGAACCTTTGAATATTTTTACCTGCAAGTATTAAAATTATACAATTTTAATAGCTATTTAACATGTAGTTGCTTTTTAAGCCGCATGCTTTGGCTGGAAAAAAGGAAAAGGCAGGCAGGTAAAGCGGGAACTCTCTTGGCAGTTATGAGCAGGACAAGCTCTTTCCCTCGGGAACTTCTTCCTGATCTGTTCTGCTCGCAGTCACTGACTTGTGCATTTCTGCTTGGCTTTGTCTCGTTCCCTCTGCTGCTGGTAAACAAGCGGATCCCCGAGCCGAGATCGCCTGAGGCTCTTCACATTCTCCTAAATATCTATTCGACCGCCGCAGAAACACGGACGCACCTGAGAGGAGGATTTAAGAAAGCAAACCTCTCCTCTGTTCTGCTGTGACAGGCAGACGGGTGTCTGTCATTACAGTGTGGGATACATTAGAAATAGAGGCATTTCAACACTGTCTCAACATTATTTCTTAGTATGTGCATCTGCAAGCACGATAACGTGTTTCACACAGATGCTCACAGTCAGTTACAGCTATTAAATAACCCAATGTGAAATGCAATCCAAGAAAAAGGATTCATGGAAAATGGCATTTATCCAGCTAGACTGGAGCAATAATAAAGTGAAAAGATCCTGACACACACACACACACACACACACACACACACACCGGTGTTATTTTAGTATCAGTGAATTCAGGTAAATTGGAACACTTTATGCCATTGACATGACTGGAAAAAAATGTCCCAATTATCCTGAATAAACCCCTATTTCAAATTTGATTTGATTTGATATTTTCTGTTTCCATTTTAATTTTTGTTAAAGGTTTAGTACACGGTTACAGGATCAGTCCTGAGAGTCAGATTTACACAGACCTGAAGGCAAATCCTCGAAATATCATGTGATTATATAAAACTCATGCTCTGATTGGGGTCTGAAAGATGAATTTGTTAGCTTGAATTCTTTATAATTACTGATTATAATATATGTATGCATTTGATAAGACACTATGTCCATAACAAACAAATGCATTACTGCTGTTTGGAGTATCAGAGATCCCATATATAAAATATGAATAAATGCAATTAATTTAACTCACTGCTAACTGTTGTTTAAGTTGATTTGTTTTATTTCTACAAAACCCCTGTGCTGTACTGGATGACTCGTGTTTTTAAAATAAGTAGAAAAAATCACACTTTTTAGTGAAAACAGTAATGTTGAGTATTCCTGACTCCTGGATTTAACAAAAAAAAATAAAAAAAAAATAAATAAAAGGTGCATTATGCCAATCAATTAATATAGCTAATGTTATGCCACTGATCACAACCATCCTCATCCAAGTAATGTTTGAAAACATGTTCAAATTTTAAAGATGCAGACTTCAGAGCAACTGATATTCAGCATCATGAATTAATCAGAGTTGCTCAGTGCTGCTCCTCATGTGCATTTGCTCAAATGTGTTCATTTTCTTCAGTAATTGTATTTTATTTGCCCTAATTAAACCAATTTGTAGTTGTCTTAATGGATGTAGATATATGACTTATGTGTACACCTTTGAGATGTATAGACCTGTGCTTCTCCTGTGAGCTGGAGGAGGAGGAGGAGGAGGAGGAGGAAGCATGCCGTCCGGTGAGTGATTTGCGCTTGGTTTGTCGGAGACAACAAAAGGATGCCATGTCCTCTCAAGGTGTAATCCATGCAGCTTATAATGCTGATGAGACGTACCTCTAGATGCATGCACGACAGGGATCCTGCTTATCCGATCAGATATTTGGCTAAACTTGTCTCATTGTTCAGAGCTATTCTTAAATCATGTTTAAGTGTCTCGGACCGCATTGCATTCGTTTTGAACGTATCTCCATATTAAATACAGCCCGTCACATCTGATCCATCTGTCCGAAAGAGCCGAGCTTCGTTACATCTTTAACGAAAAACAAGAGCACGAACTCCAGCGCAGACTTCATCATCCTCTAAAAGCTTATACTAGTGCGTCTCAATATTTAATAGCGACCCAAATAACACCAGAAAAAAAATCTATAATACAAAAATTATATATATAATGTAAATGTATACAGAAAGCTTGCCCATCAAACTTCACGAATGCATTCCCTGTTTCCTCTGCAGTCTAGTGTGAGTGAGGAGGAATCAATCATAGAGCTGATGTTACTTGACATAAAATGTCACGGGTTATTTTCTGCCAAAAACCAACTTTCAATGCATTTTCGCCGTTTTGCAAACTCGTACAGGTTTGCAGGTGGCTGTTTTATTCATGCTGTGACATTTCCAAATGTTCCAGTTCCTCATGACCACCAACTCCCTGACATCTTGCTGCGAGTCGAGCACCAGATCCATCTCGGATTCGTCGGCGCAGACGCCCGTTTACTGCCCGGTGTACGAGAGCAGACTGCTGGCCACCGCCAGACACGAGCTGAGCTCCGCCGCCGCGCTGGGAGTCTACGGGAGCCCGTACACCGGCGGCCAGGGCTACGGGAACTATGTTACCTACGGCGCTGACGCGTCCGCTTTCTACTCTTTGGTGAGTTTAGAACATGCGCGATTATAAACGATAACAACAGCATGCATTCTGTTAAGATCACCATAACTCTGTATAAGGAATGCGTTTCTACATCAGAGAAAAATGAAAGTTTATAAAATAAGAATATTAATGAGAATGATTGCAGAACTGATGAGTTTTATGGACTGTTTTCTAAATTCCATGGGCTCCGTGTTTAGGATAAGCATCATATTTTGCTCATTACCATGTTTATATCAACAAGCATGGTGAATGTAAAGTTTAATTGCTGACAGCTCTTGTATTTATTTCCAGGGAACGTTTGATGCCAAAGATGGAAGTGCGTCTGCGCATGCGGGTATAACACAGGCTGCCGCATATTACCCTTATGATCCCACCCTGGGACAGTACCAGTATGACAGGTATTGAATAGCGGCCTTCATTAGGAGTCTTCTGATTGACAGTTAACATGACTCGGTTCATTTGGATCAATGTCATAGTCAGCGCTCAACATATTGATGCAATAATAAGCGCAATCATTTTTTTTCTTCAGGAAATTAAAGCAATAACAGAATTTCCTTTGAATGTCAGGTCACTGTCTTTGATGTATATTTTATGTTATATCATGTTTGGCCTTCAGGGTTTCCCCTGAAGTGCTTTAATGGACAGACACTCGGCCCCGGTGCACTCGATCAAGCAATGTGTTCGCGCTGTTAAGAAATAGAAATGCGTGGAAATGTAGAGGTCTTAAGGAAATGCAAGTCTTTGCATTTCTCTGTTGCACTGAGAAAACACTTTCCCCACCACACCTTCTGTTCATGCCACAGGTACGGATCTATGGAGGGAGGAAGCAGAAGGAAGAACGCCACGCGTGAGACCACGAGCACATTAAAAGCGTGGCTGCAGGAGCACAGGAAGAACCCCTATCCCACCAAAGGAGAGAAGATCATGCTGGCCATCATCACCAAGATGACCCTCACGCAGGTGTCCACCTGGTTCGCCAACGCCAGAAGAAGACTCAAGAAGGAGAACAAGATGACATGGCCACCGAGAAGCAAGGGCTCCGACGATAAGAAGTACGATGATGATGATGATGAGGATGATGAGGAAGGGTCGCAAGAAGATCAAATCAAAAGTGAAACCAACGATGACGGTCAGCTCCATTCCGTTCTTCACTAGCCTATTCTGTCATATCAATTTAGGTTATTATTAGACCTATTTACCCTGTTGTTGTTTTTTTTTAATGTTTTTTTTTTTACAAAATAGCACTGAGCTATTTGAGTTCTGACGAATATTGCTGAAAGCGCAAACTTGTGAAGGTCTGGTGGAAGGACTATTTTATTGTATAATAACTTATTATTTGTGTAGCGTTATATAATGCAAAAAATTGTTTAAAAAAATAGTATTATTATATTAATAACAGCGGAAGTCTCGGGTGTTCAGTTGCCTAATGCACAGGCTTGTATATGTTGTTCTCTCTCGCTCTCCACTTACGTTCTGTCGCTATTTCTGAACAGAGAGCAAAAGTCGAGAGGACAAGGAGCTCCAGCTGAGTGACTTGGACGACTTTGACACCATCGAGTCTGAGAGCTCCGAGTGTGAGCTCAAGCACCGCTTCCACATGAACGCACACATGGCGACCACCGACGACCGCCTCAAAGAAGCGCCTCCGAAGCTCTCCATCCCCGGTCTGCTCGAAGCCAAAAGCGGCCTGAAGAGCACCGCGGAAGACTGCGAGCACAGCAAAGCGTGCTTCCAGCAGCAGGGCCTTGCGTTACTAGACAGCAAACCGCGCATCTGGTCTCTGGCCCAGACCGCGACCTCGTTGAACCCAACAGAGTACTCCTCGTGTATGCTTCGGTGCCAGCCATCGCCCCCCGCCTCCTCACCTGTCAGCGGCCTGGAGAGACAGCAGGACTCACCTGTCACGACTCTCAGAAACTGGGTAGATGGTGTTTTTCACGACCCCTTGTTTAGACACAGCTCCTTAAACCAAGCACACACGAACACTACGGTTTCTTGGACCACCTCGACCAAAGGGTCGATCTTAGAGACCGGAGCGCTTGGACAGCAAGAGGCCAGCAAGGACAGTATGACATTTCCAAAGGGGGTGAATAAAATATTCTGCTCCTAGCACACCACAAAGACTGTTTGGAATAGCTGTTTACGCTTGCAGTTCACAAACTAATGCCAGACTGTGAATAGATGGGCCCAAAATACGTTTTGTTACATAAAATCATGGGGAAATGTATGCGTTTATTGCTGTGTTGACATCTCACTGGCGAGGGGTTGGTTTATATATATATATATTGGTTTGGCTGACGCACGTTCTGATTGTGTAAATTAACTAGAAGTTTATGTTCTGAAAGACTGAAAAAAGTTCACAGGCTAGTTTCGTTCCGGCTTTTATCGTTTCTTTGGCATGCATATGTTGCTAGTTTTTAAATACGTTTTGTTACATAAAATCATGGGGAAATGTATGCGTTTATTGCTGTGTTGACATCTCACTGGCGAGGGGTTGGTTTATATATATATATATATATTTATTGGTTTGGCTGACGCACGTTCTGATTGTGTAAATTAACTAGAAGTTTATGTTCTGAAAGACTGAAAAAAGTTCACAGGCTAGTTTCGTTCCGGCTTTTATCGTTTCTTTGGCATGCATATGTTGCTAGTTTTTATTGATCATTCTTTTAGACGAACTCGGACCTTGTCGCAACGACTCACACGTGTCACTGCTACGAAAGCATCGCACAAATGCACAGATCTCCTCGAAACGGGGAATGTTCAAATCTGCTCACTATAATAAACGGTGGATTGTTCTCAGCTTGTGTTCTGTGTATCGATCAGAGTCGCTGTCCCTGGTGCTGAACTCACGGATGAGATCCACCTGCTGGCTTCGATTCAGTGACAAATGCAGCTTATGAGAATATAAGTATTACTTGTCATTATTAATACTACTTCTTATTTTATATCTGTCACTAAAAAGTAGAAAGTCGCCACATGTTATCTTGTAAATTGGCATTTGCATCATAAAATACACAACTGTATATGCACAACGTTTCCGTTTTTATAAAAAGACTGATATGTTATATTGAATATGTAAAAGTAATTGAAAATGTAAATTTGATATCATTAGGCCAAAGTAATGGCATAGCGATACGAATGGGCCGACTGTCCACTCTAAATAATGTATACGATGTTCTCAGCAGTGATTGTTTCGTGTTCACTGTGTTTGGCTTTGTAATAATCCCCCGATAACTGTTTATCATTCTCTCGCGTCCTCTGATGGGAGAGATGAGGCCCTCAGGAGCCATAAGACAGCGCTGGATGAGCCCCATTAACCCGCCATAACCAGCCTGTAATTGGGATGTTTTCAGTCATCACTCACTTCACTCTATCGATTTCTGCTCTCTCTTTCTCTGCCTCTGATAATATCATCGAAGCGCCAAATCCTTCCCCCTGACCAGCACTTGAGCTCTGCAGACAGGCTGTTTATATGGCAGAAGGAGAGATCATTTGAGATGTTCATCTTGACACGGACCCCTCAGTTTCTGGAGCTCCTCTGCACTCGGAGGCTTTTTCACCGGGGCGCGTCTCTAAGTGAAAAGGGCAAGAGAATTAGTTGGTGCAGATGAAAGGGCAAAAACACGCAGTCAAAGGCAGGAGTTGACAGTGATGGTGAAAGTGTGGCCCCTGGAGGACTGGGGTCCGCTGAGAGGGCCCTCGCTGATGAATTTCAATGTGAAAGCCAAACGCTTGAGACCTTCTCCTGAACGATCCCCTGCACAGAGACATTTGAAAATGTTTCTCCCTACAACGCACTGCACAACAAATGGTGCTGTTGGTGTTATATTTCGTTGTCTAAAAATTAAGATAATTATTTTTCACTCAAAAAAATATATATATTTAAAATCTAAAGTGCCAGATTTATTCATACTTAATGTGTTATTTTACGCATATATTTTAAATAATAATAATGATGATGATGATAATAATAATAATAATAATAATAATAATAATAATAATAATAACGAATAATAATAATACATGCTTTAAAATTCTAAGACATTAAGATATTTTTTTTCTAAAATTTAAACAATTTAAAATTACAGCGCAGATTTAGATAAAATACCATTGCATATAATTATAAAATATTGTGCGCATTGCATAAAACAGGGTTTGGAGAGGCATGGAGAGGGGAGGAGATGTGATGGTTTGACTTACTCGTTCAGGCGTTGCATTGCTTGAGATAACTGTCCATCAAACATATATTTATAAATATATAGCTGTTATGTATTTAAATTATAGCTGCATTTCCAGCTTTTATTGGAACTTTCTTTTAGTGTGGCCAGTGAAAATGTTGCCAGGCTAAGTAAAGATCTGATCTGCTGGCTCTGAAAAAAAAAACCTTCAGGGATATAGTGAGAGACTTACAATGGAAGTAAATGTTTAAAAGTTTTTTAAAGGTTTAAATGCATAAATGTGATGTTTATGATTTTATAAAAGCACTTACAGTACTTTTTACATTAAGAAGAAGTATTAAAGTTGTTCTAGTTCATTTTATGGTTATTGTAGAGTTTTAGGTTTTATTTTCTGATTGCAAAAAAGTTGCAAAATTGAATATAACTTGGTTAGAAACAGAAAGTGATTTTTTCGCAGTAAAACCATTTGAACACACATTATATTTACATCTTGTGGTAATGAAAACAGTATTGAAACAGTGAGTAATTTAACGTTTGCAGATTGGTTTCATTCAATGTCATTGTAAGCAACCATGATTTCATTTATTGTATTATAAAAAATTAAATAAAAAAAGGAAAAGGAAAATGTGGATGATTTGAATCATTGAAATCATTTAATCATTTAGAGTTAGATAGAAGATGAAAACAACAGAAATCCTGATTATGAAAAGGAAAGAGAGGGAATGACAGACTGACGTCTATGGCGTGAGAAAGGAGGAGCGCTGAATTGTGTTGCAGGAATCGTGAGCTCTCGTGAACGGTATGAAGCGTGTGGTGAACAAGTCTGTCAGTCAGAGCATCTGAAGAGCTTCAGAAACCCTGCATGAACACCGAGTCTGTGTGTCAATCGAACACCTCTTCATCTTTACCCACAGTGATTATGAGTGTCTAGAGATTAAAGTGTCCAGCATGTGGAGAATCTCTCAAATTCTCTCTTCTATGTGGCGTAAAGACCAGTCTACCATACAATGAAACCAGCAGGAGAGCTTCTGCAGTCAGAAAACACACGAGTGTGCATCATGCCAGCTGCATCTCAGCCGCTCCAACAAGAGCCATTCAAACACTTCTTTTGATTTGTCAGAGGAACTCAGTAATATTTCCTTACATGGTACTGCATCAGTGTTCTTATTCCCCTCGCGCCCGACCTCTTGTTTTTATCTTTGCTTTTACAGAAACACTCAAGCCGCTCTTATTTGTATTTACCACTGATCTTTTGCAACACAATTGGATACGGAGGCAAAGGTCAAGCTTAACTCTCTTATGCCTTTCATAGACGAATGAAAACAGCATATACTATTGATCCATCCTCAAATGATGTACATAAATCTGAGAGCTCCGCACAATACCACATGACCTTTCTGCAATTACCAAGGTGACAGAAGTGATGCTTGCAGAAGTGTAGCACAGGTCTATTTCCAGCACTTTGACTGCAACAGAACAGACACACACTCACTTTCTTTAACCTAAAAATAAATAAAACGTAATCACTGATTTGAAATGTGTGTTTTTCTGAACCATGCAAAGTATTGATATATGCATTGATTATTTGTGAAGTACAGTAGAAGAGTCTCTTCAGCCGAAACTTCAAATACACAATGTACAATACAGTATTCATGTGCAATTAAATTGGAAACGGTGCATAAAATGCATGTGCATAAAACATGCAAACAGCACAATTCAGTACATGCAATAATATAGCTTTATGAACACTGTGCATATTGTGCAAATTGTTGTGTGTAATGTTTTTTTTCTAATTTTCTGTATTTACTGTAATGTATGTGTGGTGTAAAGAAAAAAAAACAGTAACATTTGTGGTAAGGAAAAAAACAGCAGCGATTGTTGGTAGAACTTTATACGAAAAATATATCACACGTATAGAACTTACATTTTCAGTTTAAAAAACATTTAATTAAATGATGTAATGTTGATATACCAACTTACTGAAGTACTCAAATCTGTTTTGCACCATTATAATACACTGACAACCACCAAAAAACACTACCTCTGAAAAGAAAAAGTGACATTATGAATGAAAGTTCTTTGCAAGTAGCTTTTCCATGAGCTGAGGTAAAAGCTAATATATAGAAGGTGCAAACAAACACAAAACACCATCATGACACTATAATAAATAAATAAATAATCATGAATTAAATCAAATCAGATGAAAAAAAAACGAATGTACATAACTGATAAGAAAAACTAGCACGAAACATTGTTATTTCAATAAAAACATCAAATTTGAGATGTTGTCACAGGGAATTCTGGGAATGTAAATGTATGGGTTTTCACTGTACATTATAAGATGGCATGTTCATTTTTTCTTCTGTAACAATTAAACTATAAATGTAACAGTATTTTACTGTAAATGACATGAAATGCCTGTTTAGATTACAGTTTTTCCACTCAATATAGTAAGGGAACTTAACATTTCTTTTCTGTCTTTAACTGTTAAAATTACAATCATTCTTTACAGTGTGGTACATGATGTGTACAGTAAAGCCTGATGCACTCAAATGACAATAAAATCAAATTAACTTAATTATCGTTCTTATATATCAATATTAATGTCAAATATACAAATTGTGGTAAGAATGCATCTATTGCACAACATGTGTCTTTAGTAAATGCAACCCAACACTAAATGTGCTGCCCTGGAGTAAAGGTCTGTTTCTCTGCTTGCTTCTTGAGAGCGGCTCATGCTGGCGTGACGACGGGCTTTAACTAGGCCTGCTTCAGTTTCACACGGCAGGATCTCAGAGGGGAAGATGCTGAAGCGTCCATGCGATTTTACATGTCTGGCCTGGCTGAGCCGCTGTGGAGACGAGAGGAGCGGGCCGAGGGGCTCCTGGCCTGTTTAAGGATGAAGAAGTGCTTCTTATGCATGAGTCTGGACTGCA